TTTCTTTTCAGATCTTCCCCTAACAAATAGACTCTCTTCACGAGAATGAATTCTGTTCTCTCTTTTTAATTCAAGTTCTCTTGATTTTAAAGCATCAGAAACAATAGCTTGAGTGAGAGTGTCCCTACCATACTTTATGGCATTTTTCATTTCTCTGTAAGATTCGGGCAAAGAGTTTAGCAATATGACAGCTAAATCCTCATCATCAAATGTTTTATCATTATGAGCTAGACTCTTAACAATTATGCTAAAGTCACTCAAATTCCCCTCGACATCCTTCCCCGGGTCCATCTTAAAACTAAACAACTTCTCCAACAGGTATATTTTGTTAGGTAAAGTTTTAGTTAAGAACAGGGCATCTAAAGCAATCCACAAAGCTCTAGCAGTTTTAGCACTATCAACTTGTCTCACAATATTGTCAGATAGATGCAAAATTATATAACTGTAAGCAATTTCATTCATATCTTCAATTTCAGTTGTTTTAGCTTTTAACTCATCAGAAAATGTAGCGGGATCATCAAGAGCTTTAGCAACTCTCTGTTGGACCAAAATGGCCCTCATTTTTTGTTTCCATATCGAGTAATCCCCCTTTCCATCGAATTGCGATAATTCGACCCTCGAACCCATTATAGATTCTATAAAAGGGTGGCCTGTACTCGTGGACACAACAAAAAAGGTTTTGAAAAATTCTTTTCCAGATGATGATCAATATAAAACTGAGTACCGAGTTTTAAAAAAACAATTTTTAGAAATGAAGCACAACAATGAAATAATCCGTTCACGAAACACAGGTATATAAAGCAGGTAAATATGCTTCCAGGTTACAAATTAATCACAAGAATTCAATTAACAGAATTCACAAATAAGCAACCAAGCAATAACCATGCATAAACCGGTAAGGATACGAAACCTAACCTAACGGAGAGTTTGGAATAATCTTACCAAACTACTGTTGACAAACAGTAAATATACCACCAAGTTTCTGAACCAAATTGCCGTAGACGTCAAGGTAGGGGCAAAATCGTCCAACTTTTTCTGTAAAATCTGAAACAAAAAACAAACGACATCAGTGCGTTCAGGACGTCAAAATAAGTAAACTGCCCGAAAAAAGCTCGCCGGAGGTCCGGCCACGCGCCGCCGCCGCCGGTCACGCGCCCCACCACAGGATGCGCCTCCTCCTGCTGGTCATGGTTCCATGGTCCATTTCGCCGGAAAGTCAATAGGTTGGCCGGAAATCAAGTTTTTCAGATTCGGTTTAAAAATGGTAATGGCGATTTCTTGCTGGTTTTTGATCGATTTTGGACTAATATCACTCCTCCTAGCTCTGATACCAGTTTGTTGGGGATCCTAGGAGTTCAAACAACCAAAACAACAATCAACAAACAAGATTCAAGGCAAAAATCAAGAAAAACGGGAATGGAAAAATACAACCCTTTTTGGCCGAAAATCTGTCCAGCTTTTCTGCTTCGTTTCAGCAGCTCCTTCTTCGATTTATGGGTGTTTTTCCAGGCTCAGGAACAGCCCCATGTTATGCCAATTGCCTTCCAAAGAGAGAGGGGAAAAACCAATGAAGAACCACCACCCTTTTCAATGAAAATCGAGAGCTCCTCACTCTGCTGGGAATCCTCAAAAACGTGAGCTGCCCATCCCTTTAAAATGGTAGAGAGTACATTTGAAGGGGAAGGTAGGAAGACCATGCCTCTGCCAAAACGTGGAAGACCTTATTGTGTCAACCTCACTACCATCAAGTCACAACATTGGGTGGTGGGGTTAGGTGAACCATATCCTCACAAAACGAAATAAAAGAAGTTAAAATCTTGAAGGGTTGTACATGAACTTGAGTATTTGGTACCATTTTAAGTACAGTTACTGATGTACTTCCACTGCAGTAGCTCTCAATGGTAGCATCAACCTCAAGTTCTTCCATGACTTCATCCATCTCCTCAAAGGACTTGATTAATCTAGTTTTCCATGTTGAGAAAAATGGACTCCGGAATTGGGAAATTTCCTCATCATTTGCATCACTAACGCTTGATTGTTCATGTAATAATGAGATTTTTGCGGGAAAAAGGTCGCAGATATAGTGAGCCACCTTCTGCCCAGATGGACCATGTCCGTTCAAAAGAACATGTCCTTCTCACTGAAGTTCTGAAGAAAGCAATGAATTAACATTAGCAAGATCGTAATCTTAAAAATTCGTTCCAATCAACAGCAAGATGAGTTAATATCCGATTTGGGATACTCATGGTGTCATCATCTGTCATGCAAACTCGTTGCTAACTACATTCCAATATCTTTACACCGATTGACCACTGGGGCGAAAATTTTCAGTTCCCGACCAGACTAAGTAACAAGTAAGAAATGACACTCGAATTCATAAGATGTGTCTGTGCCTCCATTCCAGATCGCATCATAAGATGTGTCTGTGCCTCCATTCCAGATCGCCCAAATACTCATAAATGTAAAATCCAAACTAAAGAATTTCAATCACGACCAATCATTAGTTCCTTAGAGGATATAACTATGTCTTCGCTAACCATAATGAAAATGAGCATTATATGCCAAAAATAATCTTGAAATGGCAATTACAATTTTACCTCCCAAACAGTCGTGGCATCTTGGCTGATCCCCTTTTGCCCTTACCGTGTAAACATTGATACATATTTAGATGATCCTTGCAGCCTAATTCGTGCACCACAGTTACCTCTCAATATAACGTCGTCATCTTCAACTTGTCTTTCCTCCTTGTTTTCTTCGAGAAAAAACCCCTTCAAATTTTCCACCCCTTTGACATGAACATGTGCACATATCTTGCTTCCCACAATATTCTTGTCTTATGGGGCAAGAACAATCCCAGTTGATTTTCTCCAAGAGAATCAATCAAACTGCCAAAAGGCAGAAAATAAGGTGTAATCAAAATACTATACCCAAAAATTATTGGGATGCCCAAGATTTGGAAAATTTTCACGATGTTAAGGAAGACAAAAACAGGAAGGGATAATCATACGATTTAAGATTAGAATCCAATAAGAGGGTATCCAATGTAAGAATTATTGGTGGTTGACAATAAGCTACGTAATAATCATCAATAAGCTAATCTCGACCCATGAAAATTTTGGAAGAAATTTTCTGCTTGACAAAATGGCCATTAAGTCACATTCTTCAAGCCACATTGGCACATCTTCCCCAAATTACCTCTCTTATATTTCTTTCGCCCCACCCCCCGTCGCCTATGTTGGGCAATATCTCTGACCGTTGATCTTAATTTACGTCTTTGTTTATCCAAACTTGTACATTCTAGTAGGAGAAGAGATAAGCACCGACTTCAAATGAGCATCTGATGTGCCAAGCCACCGTAGCACTAATTTTCCTGGTTTTGTACAAACGTCAAAATAAGTGCAATGATTCAATAATTGGAGCTGGTTTATTCAACATTTTGACTGAAAAAGAAAGAAATAATTGACCATAAAATAAACCTCCCTAAGACATTTTGTTTTCTAATTTATTTTTTGTTACACCATGTTTGATATGAGACTATTGTTCTAAGCTTCAACAGCCTCAAAACAAATAAAAAAAATACACTAACTCCTTTCACAAAATCTAACATATACAACACAATTTAACCAGTAAAAGATTTCCCACTTGCAGGATTTTTCTCCTAGGCGATTCTCAGTTTAGAAAAGAATCAAAAAATGAATCATCTTTAGGTTCCTCCTTGGCCATTTGATTCATATAGGGACCGACCGTGTCTCCAAAACCCGAGTATGCAAAACTGCCAGTGTCTTGCAACATCTGAAGGGTATACGGTGCTTGGTTCTGCACTCCCGATACGTTGTTTGTCATTGAATTGGCGAAATTTGTCATCGACCCATTGGAATAATGACTGATCATGGTAGATGGCCTAATAGCTGTAGGTACATTGTTCGAGTTAATAGGTTGTCTGTTCATAGTATAACCGCCACTACCGCGTGCTGCAGGAACATCATGGTTGTGTTTTCCTTCGTATGTGGTGATCACTGCCCTCATATCATGAGATGCTCGCTCTACGTGCTTTCTAACTGGACAACCACTGTAGGTGCATTTGTAGTAGCTCCTGCAGGAAATTAATGAATTGATGTCATTAAGGTTATTAATTTATCGAACATTAGTTTATCAAGGTTTTACTGTACCTTGGATTTGGATTGCCCTTAACGACTTTCTGTCCATATTTCCTCCATCTGTAACCATCATCAAGGATATCAATATCACTTGTGGTTTGAACGACAATTCTAGGTTCTCGAACTGTTCTGCTGCCCGAAGCCGATATGCTTTCATTTTCATTTTCCCCCTTCCTGAAAAACACAAAGAAAATTAATGCTGTCTGATATGTATTCTGATATCATGTAATTATTAAAATTATCCAAGTGCTAGACTCACCATCTCTTGGCTTCAGGTTCATTTTCCTCGCCTCTTGAGTTACTCATTGGAGAGCCTTGTTCAATATCATCATCACCGAAAGAAGCCGATGAATTCTCCGGGGTTGTCACAGATTCCCCGCGAGGATTTTCAAGCAATGAGTTTGATTGATTCAAAATTCCCATATTATATGCGTGATTCTGAATCGAATTCGAAGATGATCTTCGAGTCGATTGAGGCTTCGGGTGATTATGACTCCCCTTGTATACTATTTCAGTAATATGTCCATCCAAATTTTGTTCTACCTTTTTCTTAGTCGGACAATTTGGAAATGTACACTTGTAATAACTACGAGGATTTTCGCTTCCTTTAACCTGTTTTTGGCCGTATTTCCTCCAGTTGTATCCGTCATCTGATTTTTTCTGTTCCCTAATATACTGAGTAGGTTGAGTATTGTGCATTTGTGCCGAATTGCTCCCCATATTTGCTTGAATTGTGGGAACATCTTGAGAGAAATTCTGAAATGGAACCGATTCTGATTTTGATGCTGAAAATTCAATTTGCTTGTTTAAAGCATTGAATCCCCCATTTTCTTGATTCCTTCTTAATAACTCCTCCTGTTGAACTATAATTATCAGCACGGGAACAAGCAATCCGAAAATGGAAATGATAATTCTCAATAAATTTTGGGATCCTGTAAAAAGTCCGGAATAAGGGGGGATATAATGGGCGAAAGTTGTTGGGGGCTGTGTTGCCCTGCCTTAGTCGACTATGTAAATTCTTCTTTGCCATTATGTTTTGTTTAATAATAGAACTACGGATGTGCAGGAAATATAAAGGATAAACAAGCAATAAAAAATTGCACTTCTGGATCATAATAATCCCCTCGAACTGTATAAAATTACAGGGTTCATTCTCTTTAATGATCTTGAAATTCCTAGTTCATGGATCTAATTCTTCGAAAAAATCATATAATTATGCAATAAATGACGAAGATAAATATAAGAGTTGTTCAGTGTCGGGATCATACCGATTGATTTCTTCCTGCAGAAGGCGAAAACATAGACGAAGAATTGGAAGGCCTTGCTTGGGATCGAAAAGTGAAATCTGAATACTTTCTATCCTCATCCTTAGACCGCAAATCAGCAAAACTTCCTGTAGTGGGAGATGGAAGAACCTGAACAAACACATCAAAATCTTCATTAGTCCTATCACATATCGATTGATCGAAATATACACACACACATACAACAGACAACAAATTAAGATCTATTTCCGATAAACTCGATACCAGTTACATGAATCATTTTACTAATCCCCTCTCTATCTATCGAAAATAAAGAAACTTAAATCTTCGTTTAAATAAATTTAAGGTCGACTACATCTGGATGGACTAGCTTCTTTACCCAATAGCTTACTTTTGGACATTTCTGAGTCAGAAGAGACATACACAAATATACAAACTACAGACAGTATTTATTCCTAATAAATAAATTTAGGATTCACTACACGAATTCATTTTTATCACCATGGTCGATTGAACATCCTCAACTAGCTTCTATGCCTAGAACCCTTGCTTACTTTCCATCGTCTCTGAGTCGGAAAACATACATACAAATATAAAAACTACAAACTAAATTTGGGTTCGAGTAAATGAATTCTTTTTTTATCAACTCGTTCTGCTAATTAGCATAAATTAAAAATAAATTTGGGACTTACATTAGATGATGAAAACATGACAGGAGAATCAAGAAACACAGAAGGGCTCAAACTGGGAGGAATTGAAAGATAAGAAGAAGGAGAAACTGGAGAAGGTGATATAGGCAAAGAAGCAGGTGAAAATGACTTATACTTTGGGATTTCAATACTGTTTTGATCAGAAAAATTCCATTTAAATGGAGATTTCTCTTCACTGTTCATTTCTTGTTTATTACTGCTGCTGCTGCGTGCAAGAAGATCAGTGAATGAAGAAATGTATGGTGCATCAACAGAAGTATTGAAGGCGCCACCTGAAGAAGACATTAGAAATTGAATAAAAGGGAAGAATTTGGAAAGTTTTGAAGACGGATTTGAAGGATAATAATTTATTAAATATAGTAAATTGAAGGGCTGGTTCGAAGAAGGTGATAAAAAATTTGACCGTGGAATGGGTTTCTTTGGTCAAAGCTTGTGGGTTTGACTAACTCCTGGCGGCTGAATAGTCTGGAGGAATTGGGATTTTCTGCGGTTTATATCATCTGCAACCGCCACTTCATCATGGGATATCCTACCAAGGTACCTCTTCGGCTCTTCCTTTTTCAATTTTCATTTTGATCAACTTAGCAGTCATTTAGCCCCTCTTCCCTACCATCATTTTAAAGCTCTTTTTTTTTTTTTTTTCTATACATATTTATTTTCAATTATATATTTACAGAATAAAATATTTTATACGTAAATTCAAATTTTTTTCCTACATTCAACAACACATTCTGTAAAAAAATTCTATTGAAAATCTATTATATCCAAACAATGGTTGTCAAACAAGGGCTTACGACTTGTTGGATTTCATGATAAGTTTATTAAATTATAACTGACAAGTGTATTTTATACACTTATCGAGAATTTAAATAATAATATTTTGTAATTCTTTTGATGAAATATACTCTACTTTGTGTTTTATTGTATCTAATAGGTAAAACTCATGATTTGATGAAGAATTGGAGAAAGCAAGCGAATAATACAGAAAAATGACGAAATCAAAAATATAGGGATGAAAATGAAATAAATCAAAAGTGGTGTTGGATTACAAGACGGCGATTCAAGAATGCCAAAAGTCAATTGAGTTGAAGAAAAGTCAATCAAATGAGTAATTGTCGAAAATGATCAAAATACACAAGTGAGAAAGTTTAGAAACCAATTTGCAAAATTCGTCCTAGGAAATTGCATGCGTACGCATGGACTTATAGGCCTTGCATATGCAAGGTTACAAAAAGCATTACCTAGGGCCAAATTTCATACATACCAAATAAACCATGCTTAACCATGGTTCAATTCCAAGAAAAAAATTGTGTTTCCTTATTTTGATTTGGAAAATTTTGATATACAATCTTTTGACACTCTATATATACCATAAGCCATTCAAAACTTAAAAAACCTCAACATAGATTCTAATCAATTTTGGAGGCGAAGAACAAGGTTAACAACATGGAATCAAGTTGAGTTGCAAGAATATTGAAGATTATTTATCGGATTCAAGATTCACATCAAGAACGTGGAAAATTGTTATTTCTTCCTTATTTCTTTTTTCCTAGTGATGATTTTCCAATTGTTCTTTCGTAATTTAATTCTAAACATGTTATACTAGTTTTTCAATTGTATTGGACGAGTGTTTGAACCCTATTTTCATTTATATCAATTCAAGACATTAATTTAGGAAGTTCTTGTATTGTTTGATTGATTTTACATACTTATTGCACCATTTGGTTGATTGGCCATCAATTGTCTAAAACGAGGTAAAATCAACATGTGTAGTTAGAATTAGGAATAATCTCTTTGGCACATACACTCTTATTGATAATCTAAACTAGATGCATGACTTTCAAATGAATTCGGATTAAGAATATGATCGTCTCGTGTTAGTCATAGATTGATATATATTGGGAAAGAGCAATTAAGTAGTTTATATTAGATTCGATTTTTTATTTTATTTTGTTTTTGTTCTTGTTTGTTTTAGAGTATTCATTTTACTACCCAATCTCTTTCTCCCTCACTTTTCTTAGGGTGACATCAATTTATGCAAAATCCTAACGACATCAAGCTAGCTCCACTAGATCCCAAAATCAAAAAGACTCTCAAATAACACAGGAGAGAACAGAGAAGAGCAAAGGTAATGGCTGAAATTCAGAATCAGAATCAAGATGCACTTTAGGATCCAATTCAAGCAGCACGTCCAGTTAGCAAAGACTCATCGCCAATGAGGGCCCAATATTTGTAAGAGATTATGTGAATCTAGCACCAATACTAGTGTAACTGCCTATTGTCTACCCGTCCATTGGACAAGCAAAGTTCTACATTCGATCCGATGTCATCAATATCTTCCAGAATCATTATGACATCAAGTTCTTCAGGAAAACTACATAAAACCCTCGTGAACACATACAAGCTTTTCTAATTTTGTGCAAAGTCATCAACCATGAAATGATGTCTTTAGATGTCTTTCAGATGCTCTTATTCCCTTACACGTTGAAGGAATGCGCAGAAGCATGACTTTACTTACTACATTCTGGAAGTATTGTATCATAGAATGACATAGTGTAGAATTTTACCATGAAATTCTGGCCATCGTCTCGAGTCCACCAAATCCTAAATGAAGTCTATACTTTCAAATAGAAAGATCTTGAGACATCTGAAGGCATGGGAAAGGTTCAAGAGCGCATCCAAATCTTGACATTCTTAAGCAGGCGCAGATGTATCTCTTCTACAATGAACTAAGCCCTAAATTTTGCAACGCAGTAGATGCTTCAGTGGGCAGTTTCAATTATGACATTAGATATCAACGACGCAGTCAACCTGTATAAAAGGATTGCTGAGAGTCAAGCTAATTGGCCGACCGACAAGGAGGTCGTAAGGATGTCAACGAGCCGAGTCGAGTCGTGAGCCAAAATTCGAGGCTCGGGCTTGGCTCGATTAAAATGATCAAGCTTTTTTTGGACCCAAGTCAAGTCGAGCTGAATCAAGCAAAAGCTCGGCAAAAAAAAAGCTCAACCCGAGATTTGGGCTTGGGCCTTTTCGAGCTGAGCCGGGCCGACTTGGTTTTTATTTTGGTTTTTTTTCCTTCTTAAGGCAGCAGGTCTTTTTCCGAGCCAAGCCACGGGAGGTCCGAGCGGACGAGTCCTATTACCATCCTTAGGAGGCCACGAGAAAGGCAGCGAGTATGCATAATGTTGGCTCAATGAAAATGTTAGTAGCACAAGTGGAAACAATAATGAAAAAACTTGATAATCTAACTCAGTATGTGAAAATGGTACATCGACCGACTATAATTTGTATAATTTGTAGGGCAGATCGTATCACTGCCAATTGCCCTTTAGCTTTCACTCATAATGGTCAGCCTGTAAAGATTAGTTGTGCATAGAATTATCAAATGTAGCAAAATGGACCCTACCGCCAACAACTATCATGCAGGTTTGAACAAGCATCCCAACTACACGTGAATATATAATTCGAATCAAATAAATTAGATGAAGGACAATCCACCAGCGATTGAGCAACAATAAGAAAAAAAAGGAATCTTTTAAGGATCTACTTGTTAAGTACATCACCAAGACTGAGACAGCGATGTAGAATCAGCGGGCCTCTATACATAACTTTGAGAATCAGGTGGGATAGATAGCAGCTTCATTAGCCAATAGACCACAGGGAACCTTATCAAGCAAGACAAAGAAGGACCTATAGGAGTAGGTACTAACAGTTGAGGTGGTGAATTATGCAACCATTGAGCTCCCATCATTCATTTCCGTCATCCCTTTCAATGTTTATGTGTCACCTATTCCATTTTTTCAAAGACTGCAAAGGCAAACAACAATAGAGCAGGTTCAAGCCATCACTACTAGGAATAGTATTCAATTGCCAGAATCACCGCAAAGAAAAAAGAGACGGAGAACACTCAAGTATCTACTAAGGACAAGAAGTAGGTAGAACAGTCCAAAGAAGCAACAGAGAAGGATCAACAATTAGTTTCAGACAGCCCACAGCTTAAGGGAACAGTTTCTGGCACTTCACTCACATCTCTAATCCCTTCTCCTTAAAGGTTGCATAACACCAAGCTGGAGAAGCAATTTATAAAATTCCTGGAGGTTCTCAAAAAACTACATGTCAACATTTCATTCATCAACACTATCCTTCAAATCCCAAACTGTACCAAATTTCTAAAGGAGATGTTGACTAAAAAGAGGATGATGCCCAACACGAAACGATAGCACTATATAAAAAATGCAGCTCGATCATCCAGCACATGATCCCTCCGAAACTTAAAGATCTGGGAAGTTTCACTCTACTTTGCTCTTTAGGAAACTTACAATGTATTAATCGTTTAATTGATTCAGAAACAAGTATTAACTTAATTCATTTCCCACTTTACAGGAAATTGAGATTGAAAGATCCTAAGGTGGTTTCTTTAATCCTTCAGCTGACGGATAGATCGTTGAAACACCCCTACAGAATAGTCTTCGGGATTAGAAAATCCTAAGGTAGTGTCTTTAATCCTTCAGCTGACGAATAGATTGCTAAAACACCCCTACAGAATAGTCGAAGACATACTTATCAAGGTAGGGGATTTTTTTGCAGTTGACTTCATCATTCAGAACATAGAAGAGGCATATCAGATGCCAATAATCTAGGGAAGGTCATTCCTATCAACAAGTCAAGCCTTGCTGAATTTTGATACAAACAAGAAGTCCTGAGAGTAAAGGATAAGCATCAGAACTTTACAATGAAAAATCCACCCAAACAACCTTCATAGATTAAGGATTACCAACGAATAGACCATTGGAAGAGCTACAAGAGTAGGCTAAATAAACTGGAATTGTTGGCAGGGACAACAATGGGAACTTGATTATGGGGAGAGTCAAGGATGAACCGAAGAAGTGCAACCAATGTCCGAAATGAAAGACTGAAGATTTCCTTTTTGAGCTACAATGAAGAGCCTAAAAAAAAAAAGAATCGAGCTAAGAACTTTAAACAAGCGCTTGTTGGAAGGCAACCCAACACTTCTATCATTTTATTTATTCTACTTTTTAAATTTAGAATAGCTTAAGATAATTTATATTAGTTTTTATTCAATTTTAGGGACTAATTATTCATACCCCATTTCCCCTTAGGTCTTCGATATTTTGGTTGGTTTATTAGATGTTTGAACTAAGTAATACTTCTTCGATGTATTTGACTTTAATATTTTATCTTACCGCATTGTGCAAGAACATGAGGTTGCGGAACACTTAAACCAATCAAGATCAAGGAGCCAACGAGAGCAATAGGAAAGCTAGCCATTGAATTACATGCCATATCAGGGAAACCTTTTCTTCATTTCCTTCCCTATCCCTTTAT